TGTAATCAATGAATGATAAATAAATAAGTGAGCAAAATGAATTCTACTCTTCTAAATAATTATTCTTCCATGTAAGATAATAACGGCCATATTTTCAAAAAATAAGGTTCACTTATGCACTTATTTATTTATCATTAGACAATTACATTACATGACAATATTATCATGGTATAACTGCTACACCTAATATTTACTCAAAAAAAAAGTGGTCTTTATTCCAACCTCATGTAGTATGTCCTTTACTAACAAGCTACTAAGTGGGAGAGTTGTTTATGGTAACATGAAAAAAAAAAATCGGTACCGTATCGATATTTATTATATTTGTAAGTATTTTTATCACTGTTATGATATTGAAAAAAAAAGTAGCAAAAATAATTACCACAATGATGATAAAAATACCTATTATATTAGTAAAAAATCAACAAAAGTGATGTTTTTTTTGGATTTTTTAGAAGTTGGTACACTTTTTATAATTTATTTGACTTTAAGTATAAACTTTAAAAATATTTGGCAAAAAATACACTTTGGAGCATAAGGATCGAAGTACTCCTAACATCATCATATCACTGTTGAAAAAATCAGGAAACCAATTAATTTGAAAACTAAAATTCTTAAATTTTAGAATTTTTTTATATTAGAACTCTTTCTCTTTCTCTTTATATGTCATATATATACATACACATATATATAACTAAATTCAAAACTTAAATAAATTTTAGAATTTTCTTATATTAGAATTATTTTGTTATCTCTCTCTCTCTCTCTATCTCTCTCATATATATATATATATATATATATATATATATATATATATATATATATATATATATATAATTGTGACAAAAATAAAGTTAACGCAAAATCAAAATTCTTTAATTTTAAATATTTTCTAAGATAAAAATCATTTTTCTCTATATTCATATATTTGTGACAAAAAAATCATGACACATATTATGACACTAATGTCGCACTATTTATAAAATACATATGCTGAGTTGGGCTAATATGGACATTATGATGTGACATCAATGTTCACTGTATACACATAACATATACAAGTTTTGACACATGAAAAGTACTATAGTGTGACCCAGAGATCGACACACTGTGGTCATCACAAATGTGTCATTAATGTCACACTGCATATAGACACCATATACAAGGTTTGCACATGGATGATATCACTGCAACTCCAATGAAACACTCCATACAATATACATACATCACATAAATATTAAAAATACATGGTGAGTATTACAATGTGAATTCAATGTCACAAATACAACTACACATCATATGCATTATTTTTTCATAGTGTTGCCATCAAAAGTGTGACTTCAATGTCGCACTGCAAAACAAATATCATATGCAGTGTTTTGCACAAGGTGAGTATCACACGATGTGATTTAAATGTAACATTGCATAAATAAAGAGAAAATAAAAGGGAGAGGGAGAGAGTGAAAGAGAGAGAGAGTAACGATGAAAGAGAAAAAAAGAGAGACACAAAATAGGGAGGGATATATTAACGGCGAGAGTGAGATATAGAAAGAGAATAGAAAATCTTTTTAAAACTAATAGAATCCTTTAAAAATTCAAATGATTAATTATTTTTTAATTTAGGAAACCATTTATCTATTAAAATAGAATAAAAAAATAAGAAAATTATTCCAATAAAACATGAATAAAGGAAAAGGGTTTTTACGTAAATAAAATATTTAAAAAAAGTCAAAGTATATTTGTTCACAAAATATTTACACAAAAAATGACTTATACACAGAAGATTTATATTCAGTTATTTCTTCACAAATAACTAGTGTATAGTGTAGTTTTTCACAATTTTTTCTAATTTTTTTGTACAAAAAAAAACGATGAAAATAATTACCACAATAGTGACAAAAATATCCTTAAAAGTGGTAAATTCTTGACAAAAGTGACAAATTTTTTAATTATAAAATAACCCAACAAAATTATAAAAAACCCATCAAAATAATAAATTTAGAAAATACAATACTAAAAAAAAAATTTCGATGACTGTGTCCTAAGTGGGTGGAGGATTGATAATAGCAGTACTAAAGACAGAAAGAAAAGCCTAGAAGGTGGTAGTTGCTTTCATATAAAGCTGGTTGCAATAAGAAGTTTGTTTTTTGTCAAATAAAGCTGGAGGAGAATTAATGGTGGCACTGGCAGCACCATTTCCTCTGAAACCTAGTCCTTGCAAATAATTTACCTATGTTATATGATATCAAAGCTCAAAAAGTATTTGATATGGACACATATCTATTGATGGACCACACACCAACGTGAAGGATATTAAAGTTATTTTACTTTTGCTATATAACACAGTTTGGGGTGCATTTTAATGCATAAATCAGTCGAGCAAAATACCCAAGATGCTTATAGCGGAGTGTGGGTGAGATAAGTGATAAGCAAGTTTTTTTGTTTTAATTTAGGAAAGATTGATTTTCAAATCCGAAATGCAAAATATATACAAGCAAATATAAACATCCTAGCATAACACAGATACCGAAAATTAACAGTATATATAATTAGTTGAAAATTAAAAAGTTGAATGAGTATAGAAAAACAGAGGTGGCTACCAAGAGCAGTCCTCTACCATGCCAACATTTTCTTAAGCAGACAATTACAGTGGAGTAAATTAACTATATGACAAAAGTGAGCCAAAAGATGCCCTAAAACTAAATATGTGATTTTCACAACTTTTATAGACATGTATCTTTACTCTCTCTCTCTCTCTCTCTCATTCCTTATCCTTAAGATAGTGTAAGAAACTTAGATATGTGTCAATTTCTCAGTCGTACATTTTACATATTCATAGGTACTCTTATAGTCTCCTCTATTGTCCTACTTAAATGGTCCATGCCACTAAGAGACATACTGAACGACTAAAAGTGTTTCAAATATGTTGAAAAACATCTTTTAAGTATTTGTTTTTTTGGTAACAAAGAATTTCCCCAATCATACTCTTTTTAATTTGTGACTAAAAGACTTAGCAATAAAACAAATGCTTATAATCCATTATCTTCCAAATTAAAAGACTTTACATATTAGTATAGCGAGATTTCAAGTTCACCTCCCTCTAGTTGCTAGAGAGGCCTAATTGTTCCTTTTCGCATAATTTATTCATAATTATGTGTTTCAGAGTTTGCCTTGTGTCCCCAAGGCCTCAAATCTCAATCCATCAGTGGCAGGCCATAAAAGACATGGCTAGTTGCAAGCAATGAACTACTTGTACTGACCGACGCCTTGCTTGTTTCAAACCTGACTCAATCATATGTTCTCCCTCAAATTTTAGAATAGAGGCAAGACTACAGTACCCACAAAACAAATGTGGGTATCATATCAAAAAATAACTTTTGACACCATTATTTGACCTTTAGAATAGACATTAGGACATGAGTGATACATTGTTGGCAATTAATGATTTCTCTTGTCTATATCTGTGCACATAGATCCATTATTAATTACACTCATTGTCTTGTCTTTAACAATCGCAAGTCGCTGCTAGTTTTTGAGTTAAGCAGAGGCATGGACATGTCAAAGGAAAAAGAATGTAAGCATAACATCGGTTTTTTAGTTCAACGATCAGAAGTGTCCCGACGTGAATAACTTGTTTTGACTGGACTGATGATAGGATTAATCGAGTTGCTGAACATTAGTGAGCTGGCATGAACAAAAGACACTCAACTGCACAAGGTTGTAGTTTGTTGAAGGAGAGTTAGATCAGATGTAGTCTAAGTGCATATGGCCCCTCCCAATAATGGGTCTAAGTGAGTCAGATGCACGAATATTAGTCTGCAGAGAGATTATTTTTATGACTCACACCCATGATATCCGGATTATATTAGAGCAATTTAACTACTGTGTTAAAACCCGCCCTCTAACTGTTAGCAGGCATACAAATTACTATCGAATGCCAGATTGATACAAGTCATTTGTCTCGTTATTCCCTATCATTGGGTTCCGTTTTTCCTGTGGACCAACTTCCTGAAGGGTCTTTTGATCTAAATTCCAACATAATGCAGCTTCCCTGAATGATTTTAGCCCTTTGATCACTACCTCCTCTTATTGTTTAGCAAAGAACAGAAAATTTGCAAAAGAAAAAAAATTCAGTGCTCAAATTCTTGTATAACTGTCGTCAAATCGAGTGCAAAACCTTGTCATGCTGCGCGAGAAGTTAGTGATGGATATTCTTACCCAAAATACGGCATAAAAGAATGCTTCAAGTTCAAACTAACCAGTTTAAACTGTAGCTAGGGTGGTTCTCAGGATATGCCTTTCAATGAGCTGTACCAGCTAAAAGTATAGAGTTAGGTCTCTTCATCTCAAAGTTCATAAAAAAAAAACCTCTAGAATAAAGTTAATGAGCTTTATAAGTTTGAGCTTGGAGTAATCTTAAAATGGTAATTATACGTTATCTCTATGAAAAAAGACAAATTTCAAATTTCAAAAATTGATTTCTTAGAATAATGAAAAATAAATTTTCATTAGTCCAAGATTCACAACCGAAGTTGAAGAAGAACAAATAAATTATAATATAACTTCAAAAATAAAGGAAGAAAAAGACTTTTATTAATATGGAAAAATATAAATTACAATCTTACAATCAAAAGCTTATAAAAGAGAAAGTAGGAACAAATTTGAAATGGTAATTATTGTCGGTGATTTGTTTTTTGTTGGGTCGGTGATTTGGGATAGTGAAGGGTTTATTTATTGGTGATTAAAGAAGGATTTAAAAGTTCAACATAGATGGAGGTTTGGAAGGTTCAAGAATTCTAACTTAGTGATAAGAATGTGAAAGTTCTAAATATTTGAAAGAATGATATAAAGTATAAGCATGCACTACAAAATTTTAGATACAATAATTAGCAAAAATTTACTTTAAACTTTTAACAGTCTCTTGTAATTTAGGAGACTCGTATAACAGAAATAGGCCCAATTAGCAATGAACGTTAAACAGTCTCGAAATTAAAGTTGACACATCTGACATCTCACCTTTCTTCCGGAATTTCTCAATGTTAACAGTCTCGAAATTCTCTGCTCTGCGATTTGCCGAAAGAGAAAAATCTCAGTTTCTGTGACAGAGAAGAGTAAAAAGTAAAAAAAATGGAGTCTTGGGTGCCTCTATTCGACATTTTCTTGAACTCCCCATGTCCTGAAACAGAAGCCTCTCTATGGCTACAACAATCTTTCAACCCCTCATCAACCACCACCATCTCCACAAACTCCTTCCTTTCCTTGCTCACAAAACCCGCTGACGCCATTGTTGTCGACTCTTCGTTTCCTTCACCTTCGCAATCTTCTCACACAAATAGGTAATATGAAAGCATTTATGGGGGTCTTAGTTTCCGAAGAAACGAACAGTAACTTGTGGGTTAACGGCACTGAAAAAGTACAACACGGTCTATAAAATTGATTTTGGATCCAATAGTTGCGATAGACAATATCGGGTTGAATAGAAATGAGACCTTTTTGTGTTTGAATGCATATATATTTGCATGGTTGTTTAATTTTTTTCACCAAAGTGCGTTTATCTGTTGTTAATGGGCAGGGTAACGTGGATTCGGACAGTGCCAAATGCAGTTCAAGCACGAATCCTATCGTTTCTTGCATTCGAGCACCGGAGGTTTGGCACGCAAGACTTGTCTAAACTTGCCACGGATATGTTGAGTGAGAGTGATGAACTGGATTTTTGGGTAAAGAGAGCTGCACGCCAGCTGCTTGACGTAGTGTCTGACTCCAATTATGAGTGGGTATCTTGTTTGAATATGGATTCAGAACAAGAAAAAGTGGATGATGATTTTGGGTCGTTGCCAGATTGGCTTAAGGATGCGGCAAATACCAGTGACTTGGTTCTTCCATGGCTTCCTATATCCCCTGATCGATTAAATTTGAGAATATCATTTAGTAGTAGTGGTGGGAATGAAGATTCGTTGATTGAAGTTGAAGAGGATGTACAAGAGGGCTCAGATGAAGTTATGACAGACGTTGATGTTGTCAATCCAAAAAATGATCCCATTCACCCCGAAGTTGAAAAGAAGGCCAGTAGTTTGAAAGCCGTGTATTAAATTTTGAATCTACTTCTAAAAATGTTGGATTGGCTGATGAAATTTGCCAACTAGCGTTGAAAGAGGAGGAGATTCTTTGGAAATTTTGGGTTTGATTGAGCCTTGGAAAGTGGATGATGAGATAACATTCATTTTGATTTCTCAGCTTTCAAGTGGAAATCAAGATGAACTCAGCTGGCCAAGTCATGTTCTATGCTCAATTATGCTTCCTAAGCTTTAGTATTTGAGGAACCACTGAACCAGCTTCTTGTCTACTTGTGGCTGCTACAATAGAATACTGCAAGCTTCATCAGAGGGCTGCAGTTTTGCTCTGTTGCATCCATTTACTCTCCGAACAGAGGGTGTTAACACTCATATTTGTGAGGTGATGACGAGAATCATCAAAGAATGCTTGCACCCTGCTTATGTTTCTGCCTTCTGCCAAAAACTACTATGTGGAGAAGAAGAAGTGCGGAAATTCATTTGCATTCCCTGCCACCAATGCCTGCTAAGGCTGATAACAAATGAACTGGTATGGACGGAGCCATTGTTTAACTTGTTTCAGAATATCTTGAATCATAATATTACTATGACCCAAGATTCAGTTGATCAACTTGTCTATAGAGCTTGCGAATCCACAGACAACTTTTCCAAATTTTTGAAGTTTGGGAACTTTTTATTATGCTTAGTCAACAAATCTGCACCTTTATTGAAGTCTCACAAGCTTTTATTAACTGAAGCTGTTGAGCATACTAATACTTTTTATGACCAAATCCATCCTATCAAAACTGGCTAGCTTGTGATTGCTTATATTATTGTCTATGGAAGGTTTTCCTTGCTGCGGGCTTCAGCTACTTAGACAGTTCAGAAATTTTGAATAACTTGGGTGTCGGTTTAAAACTCTTTCTGATCTTACCTAGCTAGGACCATTTATAGGAATGCTGTTTCTCTGGTTTTATTGCAGCAAACTACTTTTTTATTTCTCAGTTTTGATCCACAGAGTTGTCTCATTTTTGATAAACTTGAAATGATAGTTTCCATTGTGCACTGTAAATAATGATTATGCTGTGATGTTTTCACCCAAATCCTTGCCATTGAATGTTGTAAAGAGCTAAAATCTCTCTTATTGCTGTATCTAAATGTTGCTTTGGATGCCCTAATTTTATATCAACCGTGACCAACACCCCCCCCCCCCCCCAAAAAAAAAAAAAGGAAAAAGAAAAAATAATAAAATGAAGAGCAGTAGATATGAAAATGTGAAGAGGAGTTGACTGAAATGAACCTTTTGGGATATCTTGGTTGATTGATGGCAAATTTTATGCAAAGCATTCTGCTACTTTGCTAGGCTATAATGTCCAACAACTTATATTCTTCGTCAGTCATAATTTACAATAGTGTACTTCAATGCAGGGGGATATTATATATTTTGATGCATGTATGTCATAAAGAAAGCTAATAAAGGCAATGGTCTGGGTAGGAATGAGTCTGATCTTGAACATGCAAAGATGATGTGAACTCTCACTCAATCAGTTCAATGGAGGGAAGTTTTTGTTGAGAAGGACCATATTTAGCATGGTGCTTTCGTAAATGAGATAGCCCTACTGATGCCATTTAGCTATAGGTCAGCCCATTGATTAGTATAGCTATTTTTTTATCATTACAGATTGTGACCGACTCTGATGAAACCATTCTTTGATTGGGCATAGAAGGATAAAGGAAGCAGTATATATTAGCTTCTCTTGAACTTTAAAGGAAACTTAGCCAACACACCCACCACTCTGAAAAAAGGGGCAACAAGGGTTGACGGTGCACACATACATAGTTACTAATACATATGATATGGGCTAATTATTTGGTCTCTCACAGTAGAGGACTCTAGTGCCCGTTGGTCATTTTCTTCATGGACTCAAATCTGGTACCCTTGTCTCCAAACTTGGTTTGGGCGTAAAGGTTCAGATAATCTTGAAAACGGAAGTGATTGGGATATAATAGCTTGGGAGCTGGAGAGATTATAGCATCACCAGCTGGATTGTAGAAGGTGGCAATGGAGAGTCTGCTTCCGTTTTTGTTTGTCATGACACGGTGCAAAGCACTTTTGTACATTCCATTGGTCAAAACTTCCAATTGTTCGCCTGTGTTAATGAAGATGGAGTTATTCTTGGAAGGTGGAATCTCTACCCATTGCCCATCATTGAAGAATTCGAGACCAGGTACTTTGTCATCTTGGAGCAAAAGAATAATCCCACCAGCATCTGTGTGCTCACGCAGTCCTCTGACTAGTTCAGGGTTATGGCATTGAGGGTATTTTGCAACTTTTGTCCCCACCGAAGGACCTTTGCTTCCTGTAAATGCTTCCCTTATATAACCCTTCTCCAAACCCAGATTCTCGCACATAAGTTCTGAAAGCTTTTCTGCCAAGTTGATCAGTTGATCAATGTATCCATCCATTGTTTTGCTGAATAAATGCTCCATTCGTTAGTCAATTAGCACATTTGCACATGATTTGAAAGTTAAGACTTGCACAAATACCAAGCCGCATTGCGTAGGATGTCCAGTGAGTAATTCTTATAATATCTTATACTAATTATGCATTGTGTGTGCTTATGTGTCCTGTTTTGCAAGTTCAAAGAGCATTATCATTCATGCTAAAAGCCGGACAGATGGTTTTGATGACAACTTACCGAAGATCCTCCGAGAGGCAGGTAATCTCATCGATGTTTGAGTTTGGACGATGCCAAATGAAAAAGGTGCTTTCCCAGTCTATGTTAGTGGTATTGCCTGTATTCTCCACGCTCTTTGCTATTTCCGAGTCGTAGAACCTCTTCTTCATGTTCTCTTTATAATGTTGATTCACCAACTGCTTCACCTTGTCCATCAACTCTTTATCAATTCCATGGTTCTCAATCTGCAGATATCAAACCAACTTGTATCACAATGGAGGTTCTCATCAAAGGCTTAATTTATGTACTTAAATGACATTGTGATTTTACCTGAAAGAAGCCCCATTTCTCACAGGCCTGGTGGAGAAGCGCCATTGTTTTGCTTCTCTTCTCACCATCAAGCTCATTGATGTCTATCACAGGGATCTCCATCTCTCTCTTTCTCTCTCTCTTTCTAATTCAGAATGAGGAAGATATGAAAGTTGGCGTAGTATATATAGGCATTTGGCATAGGTGTAGATGTTGTTGCCAATATTAATATTTGGGGCAGTTACATTTGAAAAAATGGTAGTTGCAATTAACCGTAAACTCATTGAGGTATTGGATGCAACAGTTATACCATGTCAACAATATTGATGTGATGTAATCATCTAATAAAAAAAACTACAAAATAGATAAAATCGAGCTCATTTCTTATCATGAAGGTAGCTATGTATTACACAGCTGGGTGATTAAAAATTTTTACGGGATTCATTTGCAAATTTGTTTACTTATTAATGAATTATTACACAACATCTGTAGTGTTACACAATGTAACGGTTATACCCAAAAACTTTTCCTCATTGGGAGGAGAATTGTTTGGGTGCCTTGAAAAGAGCAAAGATAATAAATGGGTCTAAGTTCTGATCACCATCCGCACCACCACCACCACCACCACCACCACCATGTGATTAGTCTAGTTTTTAGCCGACCTCTTTCTTATACACCAAGTTTTCTCCTCCATTTGCTAGGAAAGAATTTCCCGGATAATATGTTTCCTTCCATGTGAGACCCTTTTTTCTAGTTTCTACTTATACAATATGCATCAACTAGGCTTTATTCTATGCTATTTTTTTTATAAGAATACTTTTCTGTGAGTGGGTTTTCTTTCTTTGTATTGCAATTCTTCTTTGTTTAAGTAAACCTAGGGGCTGTGTGACATTGAATGAGTAGCCTTCAAACAGCAAACAGCAAACAGTGCTAGGAAAGGACCACATAAATCTTGCTGTGGGCGGTTTTGGATATAAGTATTAGAAGTGCCACACTGCATTTATTGATTGTGACATTTAAACTTGCTTCTTACTCTGGTTCATATAGGTCTTCCCAAAATTGGACTTTCATTGATCAATCCTTCTGACTACATTTTTTTTTAGTTTAACAGTCAAGGATGTCTGATCTAGTTTACGCGCACTTCGATTAATTTTTTTTTTGGTCCAGTTAAAGGTAAATCATCTATGCCGGGACTAAAATATTAATGAGAAATAAATCTTTCATAATCTAACTCCAAATAATTATCAAAATTTAAACATGACCCCAAAAAGAATGTCCGGGCCAACTTCCAACTACTTTGCTAATGAGCCTTGGATTCATCGTGGATGGTTATGAAATGATCATTGCATATGTCATTTAGAGGTGTTTCTAAGAGAGAGAGAGAGAGAGAATCACACATGCAATCTAGGGGCTGGGGAACATTTGCTGTGGGTATGGCTCGACCCCGCTCTAATTGCGTCGGGGCAAGGTTGCCAATTAGGTGCACCAACCACTGGGTCCAATTAGAGGAAATTTTTGTTATTATGATGATAAAAAATATTATTTGACCTTAATTTATTAACTTGATTTAATGCATTTAAACTGATAGCAAATCACAATTAATATTAGAGGTCACTATTAATACATTGTGATCCAAAAATTAGTTTGCCCGGTCCTAACTTGAGTGGTCGTGGAATGGCCACGACTCTCACCTAAGTCTGTGGGACAGCGATAGGCCGGGTTGTTTGTTCGGCCTGCAAAGCCTCGCCCCAAACCCTCCCAATTTTTTGGTTTCTAGTATTAAGTTTGAGTAATGCTATTGAGACCTAATTTACTAATATAATTTGTCGACTTAATTCATTATGATATTTGAATTCACTGTAGACCTATTAAACATTAGAATTTGGTGTTAATCCAATAATTCTTATGAAATTATATCATTATACCAGCAAATTAATTCAAATTTTTAGATATATATAATATTACTCATTAAGTTTGTGTTAAAATTCATAGATTATAAAAAAAAATAGATAATTTATAAATTAATTAGTTATATGAGTGATAAGTTGTAAGTAATGAATTACAATTTATAAGTTAAAAGTGATGTATAATTTTATTAGGGGTGTTCAAATTTTTGATTGCTAATAAATTCTGACCCTATTCTACCCTACTTGATTCTATTGGTTGGCTGCCCAAAAGAATCGAAAGGCCAATGAAATTTTTTTTGGTATCTTGCAAAAAATCAAATAAGAATACAGAATACCTATAAAATTTTCGTATTTTTACTCTATCTTACCCGCATATAGAAACCATAATATTTTATTAATGTTTATGCCTTTTTTATATATGATATATTGATATTTATGGCTTTCTTGTTGTATTTTATTGTAATTGTTTATGTATTACTGAATTTATTGTGTTTTATTTAGCGTTAATAGTTTATTGTGTAAGTTAATTGATATAGGTTACTTAATTAAATTGTTAAAATGATTCAAAAATTAATAATTTAAAAATATGTATTTTCTCGATATTCTATCCGATTAATTTAGACGGAATTTGGGTAAAAATAATACGTTTATCGGGTAGGATTGACCAAAAAAAAAAAATTTCCGCCAAATATCAGATAAAATATCAAAATTCTTACTTAGGGTAGGGTGACCACACCTAAATTCCGCTATATGGTTTCCAACCCGGCGCTCTACCCACCATCGACAAGCATGGCCTAACTCCTTACCTGATACCAACCTTGTTCGGCTTCATTACTATGTGGAGTTGGGCCAGCCAGAAGTCGGTCTCTGCCGACAGTTTTGTTGGGCTGTGTCCGGCCCGACCCACTGGAGGTAAGGGGTGGGGTGGGGTGGGGGTGGGGGTGGGGTAGAGAACTAATAAGATTACACAATTTCGGTACTGTCATGTAGTATAATCGTCGAATGATAAACAAATAAGTAAGTAAAATTAATCTCACTCTTTCAAATAATTATCCCTTCATGTAAGATAATAATCACTAAATATTTAAAAATTGAGATTCACTTACTCACTTGTTTGTTTATCACTTATCAATGAGCGATTACATTACATGACAATACTGACGTTGTGTAATTGTTACACTCAATGCTAACAACACTAACATAATGTAATCTTTACGCTCAATATTTATTCGAAGAGGAAAGCTTTTCCTTAAAAAAAAAGTGCTATTTTACCAACTTTGTATAGTATGCACTTAATAGACAAGCTACTAAGGGATGGAGGATTGATAATGGCAGTACTAAAGACAGAAAGAAAAGCCTAGAAGGTGGTAGTTGCTTTCATATAAAGCTGGTTGCAATAAGAAGTTTGTTTTTTGTCAAATAAAGCTGGAGGAGAATTAATGGTGGCACTGGCAGTACCCTTTCCTCTGAAACCAAGTCCTTGCAAATAATTTACCTATGTTATATGATATCAAAGCTCAAAAAGTATTTGATATGGACACATATCTATTGATGGACCACACACCAACGTGAAGGATATTAAAGTTATTTTACTTTTGCTATATAACACAGTTTGGGGTGCATTTTAATGCATAAATCAGTCGAGCAAAATACCCAAGATGCTTATAGCGGAGTGTGGGTGAGATAAGTGATAAGCAAGTTTTTTTGTTTTAATTTAGGAAAGATTGATTTTCAAATCCGAAATGCAAAATATATACAAGCAAATATAAACATCCTAGCATAACACAGATACCGAAAATTAACAGTATATATAATTAGTTGAAAATTAAAAAGTAGAATGAGTATAGAAAAACAGAGGTGGCTACCAAGAGCAGTCCTCTACCATGCCAACATTTTCTTAAGCAGACAATTACAGTGGAGTAAATTAACTATATGACAAAAGTGAGCCAAAAGATGCCCTAAAACTAAATATGTGATTTTCACAACTTTTATAGACATGTATCTTTACTCTCTCTCTCTCTCTCATTCCTTATCCTTAAGATACTGTAAGAAACTTAGATATGTGTCAATTTTTCAGTCGTGCATTTCACATATTCATAGGTATTCTTATAGTCTCCTCTCCTCTATTGTCCTACTTAAATGGTCCATGCCACTAAGAGACATACTGAACGACTAAAAGTGTTTCAAATATGTTGAAAAACATCTTTTAAGTATTTGTTTTTTTGGTAACAAAGAATTTCCCCAATCATACTCTTTTTAATTTGTGACTAAAAGACCTAATGACAAAACAAATGCTTATAATCCATTACCTTCCAAATTAGAAGACTTCATAGATTATTATAGCAAGATTTCAAGTTCACCTCCCGCTAAGCGCTAGAGAGCCCTAATTGTTCCCTTTGCGCATAGTTTATGGATAATTATGTGTTTTCAGAGTTTGTGTTATGTCCATGGTTATCACAATTCACTAAACTTTTAACGACTCACGATTTGGGTACATCAATCTGAAACGTGATGGGTTCGCGATCCAGATCACCAAAATTGATGACCCCAAATTGCAATACTAACTCTAAATCAATTCGTTTTAGAACATGTAGCATAAATATAAAATACATATTAATTGACTACATATATATAGATTTATAATTATTTATTGTTTTAGAAAATAGAAAATCAAGCACAATTATAAGATAAATGGTAACTAACGAATGTTTTGTAATATATAATGTTGTAAAATAGTGAAAACGATTTACATAAGAGTTCCAAAACGAATTGTAACCCAAAATACCATACCAGCTAAACCTATCTCCATCATAACACGTACCTAAGAATATGTCGTATCATGTACCCGTACCTGTACTACGCACCAAAACAACCCACGATCCAGTTAACATTAGTTATGTCCCCAAGGCCTCAATTCTCAATCCATCAGTGGCAAGCCATAAAAGACATGGCTAGTTGCAAGCGATGAACTACTTGTACTGAGTGACGCTTGCTTGCTTTAAGCCTAGCTCAATCGTATGTTCTCTCTCGGGTTTTAGAATAGGGGTAAGACTACGGTACCCACAAAAATAATATGAATATCATATGAAAAAATAACTTTTGGCACCATAATTTGTCCTTTAGAATAGACACTAGGACATGAGTGATCCATTGTTGGCAATTAATGCTTTCTCTTGTCTATATCTGTGCACATAGATCCATTATTAGTTACACTCATTGTCTGTGCTTCCTCATGGATGAACTCAGTTGTAGTCTTGTTTTTAACAATCACAGTCGCTGCAAGTTTTTGAGTCAAGCAGAGGCATGGACATGTCAAAGGAAAAAGAACGTAAAAAGCCAAACATCTGAGTATCTTACTCTTTAAGATGTTGCTGAACATTAGTGAGCTGGTATGAACAAAAGACAGTCTACTACACAAGGTTGCCGTGTCGAGGGAGGGTTAGATCACATGTAGTCAGCTGCATATGGCTCTTCTCAATAATGGGTCTAAGGAGAGTTTGATGCACAAACATTATTTGTTTGCGGAGAGACTATTTTTGTGATGGATCATATTAGAGCAATTTAACTATTGTACTAAAACCCGCCCTTTAACTGTTAGCAGGATACAAACCACTATTGAATGCCGGATTAAGCCAGATTAATACAGATCCTCTGCCTCCTTATTCCCTATCATTTGGTTCCCTTTTTCCTGGGTACCAACTTCCTGAAGGGTCTTTTGATCTAAATTCCAGCATAATGCAGCATCCCTGAATGATTTTAGCCCTTCTATCACTGCCTCTTCTTACTGTTTAGCAAAGAACAGAACATGATGTCATTACCTAGACCCTTTGAAGTTAATAAACTTCAAGAGGAGGAAAGCATGGAATTCAGAGGTGCTGAATTCTATCAAAGACTTGAGTAGTAGTGAAAGAATAGTACTGCTTCGGGTCTAGAAGAAAATTTGCAAAAGAAAAAAAATTCAGTGCTCAAATTCTAGTGTTACTGTTGTCATATCGAGTGCAAAGCCTTGCCAAGCTGAGCTTGCACAAGAAGTAAGTAATAGACAGTCTTACCCAAAATATGGCATAAAAGAATGTTTCAAGTTCAAACTAACCAGTTTAAACTGTAGCTAGGGTGGTTCTCAGGGTATACCTTGCAATGAGCTGTATCAGCTGAAAGTATAGGGTTAGGTCTGTTCCTGTCAAGTTTAGAAAAAAAAAACCTCTAGAATAAAGTTACTGACCTTTATACGTTTGAGCTTGGAGTAATCTTAAAATGGTAATTTTACGTTTTCTCTTGTAATATAGGCCCAATTAGCAGGGAACTGGGGGAAGATTTACTTCGATTCATTGGCCTTGAACTTGAAGCACCTAGAGTGAGCTCTAGATCAAGTGCTGCATTCAGAGAACTTGACTTCATTTGCAGTGCTGCTAATGGAGATTTCATCTCAGAATGGAGGGGAACCAGGTGAGAGAACTCACTTTCTTCACTGTTGGATTGTGTAAAGAATGGTCGTATCGTGTTGGCATTGTTTGTTTGATTGCTATTCTCAACCTGCCATGTTAATGAGAAAAATCAGTAGACTAATTCCTTGTAGGAAAAGGATAAATTGAAAGTGGAACTATAAGCTAAGGCATAATATACCCTGTCAAAGAGGCTGGAACGCCTATGCTTCTTGTTGAGACCAGCCTGCCGGAGAAAATACTTCTGAGCATGACTTGCAACTTGGGTTGGAGTCCTTGAAATCACAAAGTTTTTCGAGATTCCCCTCCAGTCACCCTTTCCCAGCTTCTCAAGCCCAATTAGAAATGTCCGGTGTTCCTCTTCTGTCCATGGGGCTCCTAATCCAGCCATGAAAACATTCACATCAGCAAAACCAAGAAAATCCCACAGGTGAATAGTTGAAAAGGGAGGAGGATAAAAAAAAAAGACAATAACTTCAAGATAACTGCAGCCTAATGCGCGATTCTCCTGCCACTTGGATCTGGCGAGGCTCAGATGCATCCATCTTTATCCCCTATGCAAAGATGTTGATTTTGTGACTCGAATTCGTGATGCCCCAAGTCAAATAAAGCAATCTTATCAATGTGAGATCATTACCCAAAACAGTTTATCTAAAAGCTAGCAATGTTTGGTAAAAACCATGTGAGGAAATCTGAATAACCAACCATTTAAAATAGCAAGATCAACAAGAAGGATAATTAATTCCATACCCTTCTTCCTCTCGTGGACTTGAGCAAAGAGACCATCTGAGAGAGAACCCATAGATGTCTTATCAGAATCATTGATGGAAACTCGAGATGAAGACAGTGAAGATGATGGAGAAGGTGAGGAGGTTATTGGTGAAGGCAAACAATCCATGCTGAGACTTTTCTTCATGGGAACAGAAGATGAAGAAGATATGTCAAGTCGCACTCCAAAGAGCCTAAGTCCACCAAAAACAGTACCTCTATAAGTGGTGCAAGTCCTTGTATTGTGTCCTATGTTTCCACAATGTGAGCACTTTCTGCCCATTTGCACCCAGACAAGGCTCAACTTCACAAACTAAGAACCAACACAGAGAGAGAGAGAGAGAGAGAGAGAGAGAGAGAGACTATTAGTATTAACCCCAATGTTTTGCTGGTATTTCTTGAGGTGGGCTTTATGACAATGGAAGCACACCTAGAGCAGATGATTGGATGGACTTTATTTTTGGTTGGATATTTTTCCAACTTGGGTTCTTACCTAAGAAACCAACGGGAAGGAAAATGAAAGACAGAGGCCACTCATGCTAATTTAAAGTCTAAAGCGGAAATATTAAATGAAGGTATTTTTATTTTTAGTATTTTTTTAAAAAAAATTAATTTATTTTTTATTTTCTATATGAGAGAGACAAAAGAAAGACGTGTTAATATTGTCGAGAAAGAGATTTTTATTTTTATTTTTGTTTTTTATCACAAAGAGGGAGAGTGTGTTTAATTTCAACTTTTATTTATTTTTACTAGAGAGAGAGGGTGAAAATAAATATGAGTTGACTTTTGACTATTTTTTTTAATATTTTTAATTTCTAAGTTCCTAATATTATGAATTGGATTATAAGTCCAAATTATTACAATAAAAAATTTGATTAAATTTATTTTTTTTGGGTTTTTTTTATAGGGCTTAAAATTTAATATATTTAATTTTTTTTGTGGCCTAGTGATGTACCTAAAATTATGAAACTTTTTAAAAATTTAGGGCGTAAAATCCATATTTTTGTTTTCATACTGTTGGGCTGCCCTGAATGAAGAGCTTATCTTGGAGAAGATGACTATTTACTATGGATGTCTTTATTTTCCCATTGTAGTGTCGATGGCAACATTTGGAATATACCTTCATTCATGAACTTCATGTATTAGAATATACAAACATCTACTACGTTACTCTCCTAAGCATTCCAAAACCTCCTACCACCATGATCATCAATTCATGATCGCCCATTATCACCAATTAAAGCAGAATCATACGAATTATCAGACAGATTAGTCAACTCTTTGTACTTATTATTCATGTTAAAAGAAAGTTGCCTTTTCAATACTAAAGTTGAAATATACACACAATCTTTTACTGGAGTACCAATATAGCAGTTAGCCTAGTTGTACAAAACAGTATATACAATACATCCTCAGTGCCCAAAGTCTTTGACTCCAATCATATGCTTGAATCTTGTTCATGTAGAGAGAGAGAGAGAGAGAGAGAGAGAGAGAGAGAGTGGGGGGAATATGATCGACCAATGGTTTGAAGGGGGTTGTTAGACGATTTGAGAGAAGGGAGAAGAGGTCTCATACAAGATGTGACCTTTTAAAGTTGATGTTGATCAACCAACACTAGTTTCATTGGAAATTAAATAACATCGACCCTATTTCAGGACTTGTGGAGGAGATTTAAGGAAAGGAATAAGATTGGTTATGAATGCATGAATTTCCCTCTTAGTTCCACCAAAGATATGGGAAATTACACTCTCTCTGATGGGTCAATGAACATTTTGAAGAAAACACAAAATTCCCTCAAACCATTTTTCAAACTAAGGAAGCTTAGTATATATAGACAAAAGACCAAACATACAGTCTAGGTGACCATCAATTTGATCATAAAATTCAGATTAGTGGTTGATTTAGGCTCATGCCCAGCATCTTCTAGCTTTGATTTCGCGATTATGGGTGCCAAGAGTCAGATCATACCAATTACAAATTGTTATCTACTCTTAAATTCATATATATATATACACACACACACATCAAAACATATTGTGCAGGGGAGAAAAAAGTACAAGAAAAAGTATTTGAAACTGTTTGAAACCTCACCTTTAGGTATTTTATATTTTTGATAGCCAATGACTTTTCCCATTGGCACTAACATATTGCTGGACCAAATAAAAGAAGATATATACATATTGGATAGGTATCTTTCTTCAAGAGCTTGTTAAGGATTAGCCATTAGTGCTTATTATTATAGTTGGTTCAACCAAAGTTGAATAATTTTTTAATGTGCATTTCTTTTAGACCCATTTGGCATTATAATAGAATGGAATCTTTAGATAATTAGGAAGAAGAGATGAAAGTCTTTTAACAAAATGGAGCCAATTGCTCTACCCAAACATGCCACAAGTTGAGATATTAGAATATAAGAGTATGATCTATCTTTCACTAGACTTATACCAGGTTAGATATATTGAAAGATTATCATTACATATACTGGCCACTTATGTTAATCTATGACATTATAGAACTAATCATAATGATTCTATAATTTTTATGTGTGAACATTCAATCAAGTTTTAGTATATGTGAAAATATTTGCAATTTATGGAGGTCACGAAAAAGAAGTCATTGTTTAACATCATGGTATCGGCCATTGACTCGTAGAATTCTGAAACACATTGGTCGCAATTTCAAGCGAGAAAATATAGAACAAGACAAGAGATTTAAGTCATATTACGGCGTCGCAGAACCGTATCAGCCGATTGGATGACGATAACTTAACAACTTAAATATAACTCCAGTGACTCGACTGAGTCGTGCAAGATTTAGAGTTTATATATATCATATAACGGTATCGTCTTAAAAAGTGTTAAGTCGAATACGACTCAACCAACTCATATCGGTATCAACCGATACTTTGCACTATGAATGAAGTTTCAACCAAAGTAGTTGTAATAACAACGACAAAAATAGTAGTAGTAAGGAAAAAAAAACACAATTGTCCCGGTGCACGTAAGATAAGATATTGTAAGTACGTGGAAGAATTAGCTTAGTGTTTTAAGAGACACATATATTTTCAAATTAGCAGAAAAAAGTAATTGATTCTGAGTAATGTTACTAAAATTTAATATGTTGATTTAATTTATTGATCTAATTCAATGTTCATTAGATTAGCAATAAGCTCCAATGCTAGATGGAATTTACACTCAATCCAATAGCTATAATAATTAAGTCAATTTTTGAGTTAATAAATTGGATATGAATATCATTATTCATACTTTATTTCGCCTTAATGACATTTGCAACTTCGCATCAAACTTATCACTATTCACTACAATAAAGTGATAAACACATACACATACAAAACCTGTCAAAAGTATACAAAATTATGATAGGGAAATTGATTGAACATAAATCAAAATTTCTCACCTTTGTTCCAAATACACTACCAAAAGCAGCAACTTTTTTGAAGGAAAAGCTTGTGGCTTTATGGGATCATCATGCATCTTGATTGTGGAACCAATTACCACTGATTTTTAAGGAATCAAATTTTTGCATCTTTTGAAGTACAAGAACCAATAATGCCGTACAACATGGAGATTCTCATTGATTAAGCCACTATTGTTGGTATGTGATTGTGTTTTGCTGAACTTGTTCCATTACCAAATTTTCTTCTACTCGTACTATTTACAATTGTGTGAGAATATATTCGTCTTGTGTGTATGTAAATCGTAAAAATTAGTGTCATGTTTAGACAGATTTGTATTGACCCATTCATTAACCAAATGCAGGAGATCAACACAACCATGATCCGAACCCGTTAAAACCAAACTCATACACCTGATTTCAACTCGATTTTGTGTGTGGATAGATAGGTCACATCGAGAATTGCCAGTCTAGTCACCAACTACCATCGTGCTTGCAACTTGATTGTATTCATATATTATAAGTCATTGTGGACACAAAGAAATACTTACTAAAATGGAGAACTTTAGTCAAATAGAAGTAGAATATTCACACTAAGGAAAGCATTTGCAAATGACATAAGATTCAGAAAAATGCCACCATACTCAGGCGATCAGCTTCAAATACTGATCTTACAACAGCAATAACATTACAAAAATGAATTAGCCATGCACTCAGCATATACATTAAAGCCAAAATCTTAAATAACACGGAGCATTCGAAGAGCCCAAATTCTAATGTTGTCTTGTCATAAAATAGGTTGAAAGCTACTACATATATGAAATTTTTTTAGCCAATTCAGGAATTTCCAAGAATAGTAAAAGTTAACTTTCACATTATACAAGCGATAAGCTGCCCAGGACATTAACAATACCACACATGTATACACTGGCTTGTTTGCATAGAACCTGCAAAAGAAGCATTTGAAAACCACCAGTTAAAAAGTAGCAAGTAGCAACAATGCAACAATATATACAGCATATGTCAACTTAATTTGCAATCACTATTGCATAGAAAACCTTAGACCTCAGAGATTATCCCCCTGATTTGATCAAGTGTGGTTATAATCAGCACCAAAACCACACAGTAACATGTTGTACACATTAATGAATATCTTGCAATGCAAAATAGAAATGCAGAAACTCACTTTGGCACACAATTAAGAACCATTCAAAGCTCAGAACTTGCAAATTCCACGACGTTTTGCAGCAAAAGAATCACGTACAGATACTACCATGGAACGCACAACAGGAACATGAGCGAATTCTTCACACTGTTCCTGAAAAATCAATGCATGTTTGTTGATGTTGCTCAATTTTTAGCAGACAAAATTGGGAAAACACAAAAAACTCGATATAATACCACTTCAGCAAGACGATCTTCAATACCCCCAGAATTTGCATCAGTGGGCATGAATATCTTCCTATAAGCTGCTCTCAGGCTCTTGATCTGGATCCTTGCCAAAAAGTAAATTAACACCTCCATAAATATTTATACAAATTAAAAAAATTGCAACGCTTAACTGATGCAATTAAAATATCCAAAGAAGTTAATCTCTAGGTATAAATGATTGTAGTTGGAGAACCTAAAAAGTCGGCAGAAATTTGTCCGCATACAATATAATCACCATGTTGCACACGATGAACACGTTCATCTACATCTTGATCAATCCTCTCATTTATCAAACAAAATTCCTTCTTTTTTTTTTATCTTAGTACTTCCTGCTCTTTTCTTTTGGCCAATATCAACCAAAAAGACCAAGACATAACAGAAATCAGGGATCCCTAGCCTCCTCAAAATTTTCAATGCACAACCTAATAAAAACTGCAATCCCAAATTCAGAGTCAGAATTTCAGACACCCGTCTGAACAAATATTTTCCAGGGGAAAGAGGGGGGGGGGGGGGGTTTGAAACAAGTTGATGAAGTTAAACAACTTGGCCACTATTATAACCAAATGGAAACTACAATGCATAAAGATACACTTGCTACTTACAGTGCGTCCAAACAATTCCCTAGGGTCATTCCCTAGGGGATTTATCTGTTGGTAATTACTTGGTGCATGTTCGATTAGGAGATTGACATAGTTCAAGGTCACGGTATTGTTCAATGACTCGGAGGGCACTAAGACACATCAGTTGCAGCGTCACAAAATAATGACTTGGACAGCTCAGAGTTGATTCATAGGCGTCTCGAACGATTCAACCAATTTGTGTTTGTAGAATGGTATCTGATGGGCAGATGCCGAGTAGGACAAGACTCGGCCAAATTTGAACCATGACAAATGCACAAAGAGGATTAAGCGGGTGCTTCAAGCAGTTCGGATACCTCCTTGTTGGCCTTTTTTTTATAAAGAAAGTTATACACAACTAGAGAACTGCCTCACATTCATTCAGGACAAGAATCAAGAAATAATTTCAATTAACACCAACCTCAAGAGTTGAGAATCCACGCCGCCGCAAACCTTCCAAATTTAAACCACGCAGCTCAGCTCTTTCTCCAGCCACCATCATGTATTTTGGGACATCTTGGGAAACCTTCAAACATATACTACAAAATTGAGCTTGTAGCTAATGCTAAAAGAAATTTGGTGATTGTCATACTCTTTTTACCATAGCATATTAGGAAAATTTTCGTAAACCTTCATGACAAAGACATGGAATAAACTTTTTGAAGAAACATTTTTAGACACTCAAGATAAATACTTGGTCCATCAAGGTTATTATAAGGAGCATGTAACAGGAAAGCTCAGAAGTTAGTAACTTCATAGCTTCATAGACACCACCATGCATCCATGTAGCGCACAATTTCAAGCACTGGCACTGGCGTCACAGTTAATTTTGTCCTGAGGTCAGTTCTGAATAGGTCAGACACCTCAATGTCCACTTTGTTGCTAAAGTTATATTGGAGAAGAAGAATTTTTTTAAAATACTACAAATTGGGGGGGGAGAGAATCTTACCACAGAACCACCACCAATGAAACAAAAAGATCCAAGATGACAAAATTGGTGGACAACAATGGACCCTGCAGTGTGAGCATAGTCCTACATGTAAAAACACTTGAATCAAGTTTTTATCAGAGCTACATTTGAGATGAAGCTGCTTAAATTTATATCATATATTGCTGAATTACAAGAAACAAAAGAGGATTCACCTCCACTACAACATGACCTGCTAGAAGAGTATTATTGGCAAAAATGTTGTTGTTACCCACTTGGCAGTCATGGGCTACATGACAAGACCCCATAATAAGATTGTTATCACCAATAACCTGGTTATGCAGCGCTCATTAAAATATGTTGATATGCTGAATACTTCATAAATTCTCTAGTTCAAGAAAAATGAAACCATGGTATTCCCATACAGTTTTTTCATTTGGCATTGAAGATCGATGGATAGATGTATGTTCTCTGATCTCATTGTTGTCACCAATATCAAGGAAACATTCATTCCCTGGCTAAATCAATCAACAAACAAGATAGAGACCAATGAATGTTAATTTAGGAGAATAATCAATGATGCACCGTTTTTGTAATAGTGCACATAATATGAAGATAATGATGGATGATAAAGCCAATAACAATGATGTTGATCATGATCTAATCATGACAGAAAATCGAAAAATAAAATCCGACAGAGGGAGGCAATTTTATTGCCAACATTATGCATCCAAACCTGGATGTATAAAAAAGAATCAGCCACAACTACTTTGGAGGGGAAAACAAGTTAAGAAAGAAGAAAAATAGGGTGCATAGACAATTAGACATAGACACAGAAATGACAACACACCGTCATTTCAATATACAAAATCCTCAAAATAATCAATTTTAAAAATATAAAAACTTTTTAAATATCTTGAAATTTTATCTTATATAATTTTTTTAATATGGCAAAAATATCTTGGAAATTTTCTATAAACCTTGAATATGATTGCCCTTAAAAATTGTACTGACTTACCTACCTTTAACAAAAAATTCATATCCCAATGTCCAAAGTTTGTTGGGCACATATCAACAGACATCCAAGTATCACCCGTCTGTCCAACATGGAGGACTATATTTCCAAGTTATGGAAATTATGAAACTTGGAAATGGAGACGAGTAGGATGGTCTTGGAGATGGATCCTTTGGAGAAGTGTTTGTGCTTTCTTAGCAAGAAAATAGTAGCAAGCATACCACTTGCCCGTGTGAATTCATTTTAAAAATTATCAAATAATGTAGAAAAAGTGACTTCTAACCATTCACTTCTTTACAGACCAATCCCACTTCTTCTTCCTAATTCTGCTACTAATTTTCTTTTTATATTGTATGAACTATCTCAAAAGTGCACAACAAGTCTTGCATAATAAGTTCTTTCAGATGACCACTGTGATCTATTAGAAGTACTCGTGTTGGTTATTTTATCTTAGGGGTCATTTGGTTGCAGTATTAAGGGTGCATTAAAGAGTCATAACAAATTAAAACTCTCTAATCCAACCTTATACTGCATTTTGCTGCAAAAAATATTTTGTATGATATATAGTCTTATTTCAAATATTTATACCACTTCTCCAAGGGGTATTATAGTCTAGTTCAAGTATTAAGTTATAAATTTACTATTTTACCCTTCAAATAAACAAAAACATTAATAACTAAACAAGATTGACGATTTATTAGTCAATATGTAATTACAGACTCTATTTTCACACCCTTATCCAGTATTTGGTAGTACTAACTTTATCCCATATCTAATCTTGTGTTTTATCCGCTTTTACAGAATTAGCCAGTATTAACTAATACAATCCTTTCTTTTACTATACGGCAACCAAACGACAACTTAATGTATTATTTGCGGGATATAAAAGTAGAATTTTCAAAAATTTGTGAGTTCCTTGTTGAGAGAGAGAAAGAGACTGAAAATTATTGAACTAGGTCTATGAATTTCTCTATCAATTCCATTACCTTATCATTTTCCATGAGGTTCCAACATTTTCTCCTTAATCAAGATAGGTAGAAATATTCACAGCACTTAAATCCACTGGAATGTATTGAACTAACACAGAATTTTATGCAATCAGTCGATTGAAATGATATGGTTTGTCAAATCAGTCCACATTTCTCTCATGTCCAAGATAAGTTGGCAGACAAATGTGTATGCCAACATATACCAAACCATCCATCGTTCTCAAAATAGATCAAGAATTACTAATACCAATTGGAGACTAACCTTATACTTCATATCTTGGCATTTAGTGCCAACCACAGCATGATGCCCTATAAAATTATTGTGCCCAATGACTGTACACCCAGGAAGCTCATCTCCAACAACAGCACCACTGCTTGTCAATATTATCTCACAAACAAACAATGAGACTTGTGATGAAAAGAAATGAAAAGTATCAGATATTAACATAAAATGAATCCAACTCTCAACTCACGTCATCAAAACGCAGTTATCTCCCATTTCTGTATTTCCAAAAATATGGCTTCCAGCGTACAGTTGACAAGCATTCCCCAGCTTTGCTGAAGGTCCGACAGTACAAAAGGGGCCAATTGAAACACCCTACATAGGAAAGAAACATTCACCATCTCCACAAACCTTTTCAAAAATCAGAAGACAGCCAAACAGGAAACCAGTTTGACAAAAAATTCACTAAATCAAACATTTAAAAACATGTAAGACTGCACAAAAGCAAATTGAGTAAGCACTTTGTTAAGTTTAGAGATATAACATAACACAATATTAAAGAGAAAGAGAGAGGTTAAAAACTTAACCTAACTCTCATACATCACTTGTATTTATAATTAACCTACAATAATAAGAATTACACATACACCCTCTTACTATTAACAATTTACACATACAACCCTACTATTCTTAACACTCCCCCTCAAACTGGACTATATATATCATATAATCCAAACTTGGAACAAATAGCTGTAAGACGTGTACGACTTAATACTTTGGTAAACATATCTGCAAGTTGATCTTTAAATTTCACAAATGGAGTTGTAATCTCCCCAATTACTATTTTGTCTCGAATAAAGTGACAATCAACCTCAATATACTTGGTTCTCTCGTGAAACACAGGATTGACAGCGATATGGATAGCTGTCTGATTGTCACAGAACAACTGTAAAGGAAGTTGAACTGGAAACTCAATTTCCTGGAGAAAGTGTAGTAGCCAAGTCAACTCACTCGTCGTATGTGTCATTGCCCTATACTCAGCCTCGGCACTGGATTTGCTATCACGAGTTGTTTCTTACTTTTCCATAAGATAACATTACCTCCTAAGAAAGTGCAATAACTAGTGGTTGATCTCCGATCAAAAGGAGAGTCAGCCCAATCAACATCTGATAAATCTTCCACTCTAAGATGTCCATTAGCTCGATATAACAGTCCAAGTCCAGGAGCTTGTTTGAGATATCGCAGAATACGAGTAACTGCCTCCTAATGTGGTACTCTAGGACATCCCATGAACTAACTTACTATACTAACTGAATAGGAAATATCTGGTCAAGTAATAGTGAGATAATTAAGTTTTCCAACCAATCTGCGATACCGACCCGAATTCTCAAACAATGCACCATCATCCATCAATAATTTCTGATTTGGATCCTTAGTAAAATCAATCGGTCTACCATCTAGCAAACCTGCCTCCTTAAGCATGTCAAGTACATATTTCCTTTGGTATAAACAAATACCCTGTTTAGATTGAGTCACCTTAATACCCAAGAAATACTTGAGTTTTTTTAAATCCTTAGTATGAAATCGATCCTATAAAAATATTTTTAACTCGGCAATCCCCTCAGAATCATTTTCAGTAATCATAATATCATCTACATAGACCACCAATAGGACAGATCCAGCATCTGTCTGTCTATGAAACACAGAATGATCAGTCTGACATCGAAGAATACCAAACTCTAAAACTGTATCTGAAAACTTACCAAATCATGCCCTCGGTGACTACTTCAAACCATACAAAGATTTATTTAACCGACATACACTCTTATCATACTCCCCCTGAGTAGTAAACTCAGGTGGCTGCTCCATGTATACCTCTTCAACCAAGCCACCATGTAGGAATGCATTCTTGACGTCTAACTGAAACAAGGGCCAATCAAAATTAGCAGCTAAAAAAATCAAGATACGAACAGAGAAAATTTTGGCAACTGGAGAAAAAGCCTCCTCATAATCAACACCATAAGTCTGAGTGAAGCCCTTTGCAACAAGTCGGGCTTTGAAACGCTCTACAGAACCATCTAAATGAAATTTAACAGTATACACCCAATGACAGTCAACAGTTCATTTACCAGGGGATAAAGGAACGAAATCCCAAGTCCCATTAGTATGTAAAGCATCCATCTCCTCCATCATAGCTTTCCTCCAATCGGATCAGATAATGCATCCTGTAAATGCTTAGGAATAGATATAGCAGATAGTTGGGAAGTAAAACAAGAGAAGACAGGAGACAAGGCGTTATATGAAACAAAATGAGAAATAGGACAATTAGTAACACACGAACGAGTACCTTTGCGAAGAGCAATAGGTACAGAGTCTAAATTACCTAATGTACGAGGATCAAAAGGCGGAAAGGAAGACGGTACGAGCACCTCAACTGATGGACGAGGACGAGGACGACGAGAGTAGACACGGAGAGGTAAAGTAGATGGGAACACAGTGGGTAGCGAAATATTTGAATATGGTAGTACAAGAGATGATCCAAAGTCCAGATCCAAAGGGTGAGAAGATGCCGGAAAGTATGGAACAAATTCTTCAAACGTGACATTGGCACTAGTAAAGTATCGGTGCAGAGAAGGACTGTAGCAACGATACCCCTTCTGCGTGCAGGAGTAACCAAGAAATATACATTTGATAGCTCGAGAATCAAGTTTGTCAAACCAGGACCCAAATTGTGAACATAACAGACACATCCAAAAACCTTAGGAGTCAGGGAAAATAAGGGCTTATTAGGAAAAAAGACAGAATATGAACTTTGCCCATTTAACACAGAGGATGGCATACGATTAATAAGATAACAAGTAGTAAGAACAACTTCACTCCAAAAATATTGGGGAATATTCATCTAGAATAACAAGGCACGAGTGACTTCCAACAAATGACGGTTCTTACATTCAGTAATACCATTTTGGGGAGAGGTGTAAGCACAATAAGTCTGATGAATAATGTCAATTTTACAAAGATAAGCTAAAAAAGGATCAAATTCATATTCCCGAACATTATCAGAACGTAAAGTACGTATATGACAACCATATTGAATTTTTATTTCCTTACGAAAGGTCTCAAATATAGAGAATAATTCAGACCGAGTTTTCATCAAAAACAACCAAGTCACATGAGAATAGTCATCTACAAATGTCATAAAATAAGGATATTTATTAGATGAAATATTCTTTATTGGACCCCATACATCAGAATGTACTAACTCAAATGGACTAGACACACGATTATAGACTCTAGACTAAAATGACACACGGTGATGTTTACTAAGTTGACAAGCTTCACAAAACAAAGATAACACATAACTAAGACTGGGAACTTGGCGCTTCAAATTTTGGAGAGAGGGATGTCCAAGACGACGATGCCATTGAAAAGGAGACAACGAGGTTTGTAGAGCCCAAGTAGGTGAATCAAAGTCAAAGTAATATAGACCACCAGCTTCATGCCCTGTACCAATCTTCCTCTTCGTCTTGAGATCCTGAAAAACACAATAAGAGGAATAAAAGGTAACAGAACAATTGAGATAACGGGTAATCTTGCTAATGAAAAGTAAACTAAAAGGAAACTGAAGAACAAATAACATAGAAGATTGAGACATATCAGGACTCAAGTGAGTAGTTCCCAGACCTGAAACTTTAGAACAAGTACCATTAGCAAGAGTAACACTACGTGTGGAAGTCGCAGACTAATAAGTAAAAAAAACATCAGACGCACCAGTCATGTGGTTAGAAGCGTTAAAATCTATAATCCAGGAACTGCAAGTGGAGGACAATAAACAAGTTGAAGCATTAACTGACTGGGCAAAAATAACAGTGGAGGAAGATGGGACAGCCTGTTGCTGGAACAAGAACTGAGCATACTCCTCTCGTGTAATAGTAACCAACCCAGTGTTTTGTTTGGGTTCCATAAGTGCAGCAAATAAAAAAGAAAATCATTAGATCACTGAACCGGACAAGAATCACTTACTACACTACTGAACCGAACCAAAAAAGTCCACTGAATCGCTGAACCGGACCAAAAGAGTCCATTGGACTGCTGAACCGGACCAGAGAAACCCACTGGACCGCTGAACCAGAAATAAAACTGACAGAACCGGCTTGTACCAGCTTAAAATTGACTGAACCGGGACTGAACCAGTCTAAAAAGGGCTGAACCGGCTTGGAAACCTACTGAAATTGCTTGAAGACCTTCTGAACCAGATGGGGAAACTGGAAAATCTGCTGAACTAGCAACCAAACTACTGAATCAACTAGAAAAAAATCTGAACTGGCCGAAAAAGGTGTTGAACCTACCGGAAAAGAATGTTGGAAGACTGAACCGAACCACAAGAGCTGACTGGACCACTGAACCGGGCAGACCAGGCTTGCTGAACTTCTGAACCGGAGTAGATGCTGACTGAACCAGTGGGAAACTAGCTGAGCTGGTCTAGGCTGGACCGCTGAGCCGGTCTAGGCTGAACCGCTGAGCCGGTCTAGGCTGGACCGTGAACCGGATCAGGTCTGGTCTGGGTTGGACCAGAGATTGATTGGGTTGGATCTGGATCATAAATAAATTAAAACCCGTGGACCGTGTCTTCTCCGTCGCTAGGGTTTCAGAAGGCCTGGTCTTCTTCAATAGCGGCGCCTAACAGCTACACTACCATAAAGAACAACACCACCACACTAATCAACACCACAACAGCACCACTACAAAGAAAAGTGGAAACGATAGCAATAACACCACCACGATCGACACCCAACGACAACACCACCACGCCACAGTCGACACCACCACAGTCGACGACGCCACAAAGGCCACCACACCAGACAACACAACAACACCAACGTCCACAAAGGCCACCACAATCGTTTACGCTAAAAAATTTATTTCTGTATTTAGGATCTTAATGCTTTGATACCATGTTAAGTTTAGAGATATAACATAACATAATATTAGAAAGAAAGAGAAAGATTAAAAACTTAACATAACTCTCATACATTACTTGTATTTATAGTTAACCTGCAATAATAAAAATTACACATACACCCTCTTATTATTAACAATTTACACATACTACCCTACTATTCTTAACACACTTAATCAACTAGATGAAGAATATGACCATGGTTACTCTACTTGAGCTCAAACAAGTTATGTGTTATTAACCAAAAGGATATTTGAAAAATGCAGAATTGCCCTCGAAGAGTAATATTAGCAAAATGTAGTACCAAAACTATCCAAACCTTAGCTGCAAGCCTGCAATGCCGCCTCATGACAACAATGCATATCAAAAATCAAATTAATTAGAGATTAGGCGCTGTTATGCCAACATCAAGCTTCACATTAGAGCTTTAATCAACGTTTTTTACAAGAAAATAACGAGTTATAGATTTCCTAGTAAAGATTATTGATATACTTACACAAAGGTGTAAGCCGATCATTTCCCTACACAGATTTAATTGATAATAGATATTAAATATTATGTAATAAATGATTGGTTCAGGTTCATCCTCGAGCTCAAGGCAAATGTTCAAGTCGATAGTTGTCTATTTCCATATAGGGGAGATTTAAAATGTCCTATTCCTATAGATGAGGTCCTTCTGCACAGAGGCAGAGGCAGAAATTATTCATAGTGGGGGCAATCTAAAACTATTTTAATATTATTTTTCTTTTAGAAAATTTACCCATAATTAATTCAAAATCAATATGTTTGGTGTGACTCGAACTCCATAATTTTTTTTTCTTTTTGATCATAAAACTCAGTAATTTATTATTGAGTTTTTGACAAACAATTTATTATTTAGAAATAATTTAGAAAAAAATCTATTCGTCACAACTTTATTAAAACTTAGATATAAGAATACTTGATTGATCACAGACAAATTGTTAAAGTCCAATTGTTTGAATAATTTAATTAAAAATATAATTCATAATATATTGATTCCAATATATACTACAATTAAATTAAAAAATTATTTAAAATAATTTGAAACTTAATTTATAATTCTTGCATTCTAATTTCAATTTCTAATATTATGAAATGTAAGTTTAAACCCCCATTTATTACGATTTCAAATATCAAGATCCAATTTCAATTCACATTAATAACAATAATAGAGGGGAGAAGATAAAAAAACAGCTAAAAAATAGAGCACTGACCAAGAAAGTCAAGTTAAGGAGAATGATCAATTAAGAATCACTAGAACTCTTTGCAACAATAACTGACAAATCATAGTATTGTTGATTACTCTATGGATGTGGCAACAATTGGTAAAAGGTCAAGATTGATTTCTTATAAGGTGCTTGCTCATTTATTATTGATATGTTATTCATAAGATGTAATAGCTAATTGTTTATGTGATAATAGTGATTTATTGATGTTTATAAAAAAACCTCATTGTAACAATTTTAATTTAAGTCGTATGAGAAAGTATAAGTCTAATTTTTCTTTTTTATGAAAGAATACCACTTATCTAAAATATATACTACCAATAATGCTATATTTATTTAATTTAGAAATTTAATTTTAAAATCTAATCCATTATTGTCATTGGATTAGCATGTAATGGATCCCGTTAATATTGGGATCCATTAATAATGGAATGATAACAATAATTTAACTTTCCAAATTAGATCCCAATACTGTTACTTTGACAAACTTAATTTTTTTATATTAGTGGGGGCGCAAATTTCAACTTTTTTTAAAAAAAAAATTCTGAAATTTCAAATAATACCCAAAACTTTTCAAAATTCCAATGGGAGCAACTGCCCCCACTGCCCCAATGCTGAATCCGTCCCCTCTTCTGCAGGTACATGTTATATAAATAAAAAGCAGAAAACAGAAGTGGAGGAACTACCTGACCTATAATGGCGTTTGGGTGAACATTCGCAGAGGGATGGATGAAGCTAGGTTTTGTTCCAATTGTATTATTATTGGCTTTCTCATCATCCGGAACATCTGTACAAACCACAAACGGACTCAAAAACTCGAACATTTACAGAGAGAATATATATATATATACGTATACGAGAGAGAGAGAGACGGGTGAGTGTAGAGGACAGGCGTTGCAGAGAGAGTCTTCTGAGAGCAGAGTAGAGAGGCTTGCTAACACTGAGTGAAGACATGACCTCGAAGATTTCGGCGTCTTTTGGTTCTCTTTTTCCCGAATTTATAGCTGTTAGAAGTAATCTCAACCACACATCCAAAAAAAATAGAAGCTGATCTCACCGTTGAAAAATAAGCTAATTATAATTTATTAGGTGCAATAATTACTTTATTTTTCTAATTAAATTACAGTTGATTCCCTATATTTGTAAGTTATAGTAATACCTATCATTAATCAATTACATAAAGACCTAAGATATTTTAATATTTACACTAGACACCCCAAAAGTTTTTGTTCCGTAACTCAAGTAATGAAATAATCCTCAGTTTCCCTATATTTGCAAGTTATAGTAAATATGCTTATGAGATTGCACCTTTTTGTGTCCGAACTTGCACACCAACATGTGTCAGTGTCACAAGTTATAATTATTTGAATGTGTCGAGTCAAATTTTCCGTAGCTTAATTGCAAAGTTATATTTTAATTATTGTTGTCAACTGTTTCTATAATTTGTAAAAGAAAGTGTGCAAGTCTTAATAAAAGAATAAAAAAAAATATTGATTTAAGAATGGTAGTTCTTGTTAAAGAAGAATCATCCCAATCATAAATTCTTGCATCAACAACAAAGTATAAGACTCAAGTTTCCAATCTCGAGATTGACATTTCAACAAAATACGTTGAGGCGAATGTGCTTCACATACACACACACTACTTATTCTATTTTTCACATTGGTGTGCCAACAGTGCTTATGACATTCACCACAAAAAAAAAAAAAATGTGAGACCAATGCTTATAAAAATTGCTTTGAAAGAAGGAAAAAAACACAAATAAGATCACTGGGAGATTGAAACTTGTGAAATCGGTGGTTTGGCACTACTATAAATATTTTGTGAAATGGGGTTTAGGGGGCTCTATCAGAGCTTTTTTCCCATTAAAACTGTATTATCCCCATTCTTTCTGGTACAGTGGATGGTCCCAATCAACTTCAAATGAATATAAATTCATGGATTCCAAAAGCTAAAGTAAGAACATCATATAAAGACCCAATATCACCATTCATTAACCCTTCATCTCCTTTTCACCGGGAAAATAAAATAAAAAAAGAATAACAAATTTTCATGAATAATCTGTCAAAGTCACAACTATACAAACTACATAATGCAAATTTTTTTTTTTTTTTTTTTTGGGGGGTGGGGGGGTTGAAACTGGAAAGGAAATAAAATGTTGCACATCATGACTTCTCTATGCAATTGGTCTTCATAGGATGTCCTCTTCACTTTTTCCCTCCATGTGAGCAGCCCTTCTTGTCTCATAAGAGAAGCTTCCTACTTATTCCTTTGTTGCTGCAGATCTTGCTCCTCTCGTTTTGGCTACATCTTTACCACCCTTTTCTCAGATCACGTCTAGAGGTTGACATACAAGTTCAGCTCGTGAAAATGGCCCCTTCCAATATTCGAAGCACCTATTTTCGGGAAAATGGTGAACAAGATATTAGTGAAAAATGACGAAATATTCTTCAGCGCTTCAAGAAAATGCTAAAAGGGTCCCCATAGTTCTGCCTTTTGATAATATCAAGAGCCGAGAAAATTGCAAACAAGATACAAGTGAAAAATGAAGAACTATTCTTCAGTGCTTCAAGAAAATGCTAAAAGGGTTCTCGGAGTTCTGCCTTTAAATACCATGAAGAGGAAGGCTGACAATTCCGTTGGCCCCATTGTTCCAGGTGTGCAACTAGTATTTTCTTGATGCAAAATGAAAATCTAGCTGGGTTAAAATTCCATTTCAAAGCTCTTGGAATGTTTTGGACCTACTCTAAGGGGGGTTTGATAGATCTCTTCTTCTAAAGAACACCCCAAGTGACAGCTAGAAGGTTACACGATAGCCTAATACTAACATCTGCTATTATACGGGAACTACTAATCTTCTGACCAGACATAATAATTTGGATTACAAAAGACAATGATCCAGTGAGCAATTGCAAATCTGCAAAGTATGGGTACAAATAAAGTAGCTGCATTACTATAAATTATCCAGAGTTTTCAAACACGAGTTCAGATTCCCAAACCTGAGACATACGAGGCCTTGAATCAGGGTCTCGCCGAATGCACAAGGAAGCACAATGCATCATGCAATAAACCTCTTGCCCCGGATAGGTGTTCCTTAACTGAGGATCAATTAGTTGCCCAATGGCATTTGCTTCTAGCAAAGGGCGTGCCTGCTCCAAATTAAATTATGAGCAAAACCACCAACAAATTTACAAAGCTGTCTTTGCTCAAAGAGATACCATAAAGATACAAAATAGGCAACATTCACCAGGATCAACAAGATAGTGTAGAAGACATCTCATTGCTCCTCTTCGAAATAAAATATTTTTCAATACAAATTTCATATAACAAGAAGCCCCAACATATAGTGCTGCCAACATAAAAAAACTAGAGCTTTGAAACTCTTACCCATTCAGTGAGGCACTGCTGGCCCTTGGGCCTGTCAATATCCACAGCTTTCCGTCCGGTGATGAGCTCCACTAATACCACTCCGAAGGAGTAAACATCAGCCTTTTCAGTGATTTGGCCACTTTGAGCATATTCAGGAGCCAAATATCTAAATTAGAGAGAAAAAGGACGAACCAGTGCTCATTATTTTAGGATTAAAAAAAAAGGAAAAAGAAGCAGAAAGCAATCTTTCATGTCTACCCAAATGTTCCAATTATCCTAGTTTCCACGCCGAGGTCTCCATCTGGCTGCCATCTTGCTAGTCCAAAGTCTCCCACCTTAACAGAAGAAGAAGATGATGATGAAGAAGAATAGAAAGTATCGGAGAGAGAGACCTAAATGTCACATAAATACAGCAAAAGCAAGGAAAAATCATAAGTCTAATTAATTCTACACAGAGAATAGCATGGATCAGTCTGGGGATGAATAGTCAATCCTCCAATGGATACTTCTAATGCAACCTACAAAAGTGCTTGTCATAAAAATTTATGTCAATGTGATTCTTTCATAGATCTATATCTTCATCAAGAAAACTTTCAGCAAAGAAATGTGGTTGAATTGATTGAATTAGGCATCATGTCATTAGATCTTAGTCGTCGCCCATATGCTAGAGATTATGTTGGGTCCATCCCCTCACCGTGACCTGGCTTCGGGGCCTTTACCTTTCGTTAGCTTAGCTTGGTTTAGTTAGATAAATCTCATTTGACTCCTAGTATTTATTGTTATGAATTGAATTTGTGTGTGGGAATGAAACCATAGCCCCATCTCTATACAGTGAATAATATAGAGTATCAATTTCAACTCCAGGTAAAATAATAACAGAATCTATCCAACCAACTTCAGTTTCCACCAAATTATACTTGGTAGTTTATTACTCAAAAGTGGTTCTCTTCATTTTGCAGGAGACCTAATCTAAACATTATTTTTTTGTTCAAAAGGTTTAAATGCATGACCGGAAATCATATTTAAACATTCCATAAAGAGCAATGAAGAGGAAATGACGTACTAGTGGTTCAAAATCATGAGTGAGGAGAATATTGTTTGGCCGCATATCACGATGGACAATACAGCCCACTCTACATTCTTCATGTAGGTATCTCAACCCTCGAGCAGCTCCAACTGCAATTTTTTGCCGTGCTGACCATTCTAACAGATCTTTACTACGTCCTGCAATTCAGGAAAAGCAGCACATGACTTGATCAGCCACAGAAGTGAGAGCACAAATAGCTTAAAATTCATATGAATATCCTCATTATCCAAAAATTCATTATCTATTTCTAAACAGTGTCACATATATTCTCATCAACATTTTACAGAAGCGCCCAAATATGTTTTCTGTTAGGCACGGTCTCATAGTGGAATAGCCTGATCCCATTTGCCAACACAATCCCAGATGAGTGGACCAAACTTGTCGGGCGATGCCGTGATGATCAAAATGACAGCCCCAAAATAACCAGAAAGCCAAGAGAACAAAATAGCCATGACCTCTATGACTTTCGGTATCCAACCTCAAGTAATTATGGAAGTACTCCCTAAATAAAGCAGATAGGGGTAGAACTAGAAAGGAGCATACCATAAAGGTGAGAATCCAAAGACCCGTTGCAAATATACTCATAAACTAACAACCTTCTCCTGTCGTCCACACAGAATCCAATCAACATCACAACATTACGATGTTGTGCACAGCTTAGGACCTCCACTTCTGAACAAAATTCAAGATCTCCCTGAGAACTCGCCAATTTATATTGCTTGACTGCAATGACCTGGCCATCTGGTAAGACCCCTCGGTATACAGAACCATATCCACCTTCGGCCAAAAAATTAGCTTGAGAGAATCCACCCGTAGCATGTTCAAGCTCAACATAGGTGAACCACCGAGGAGGTTTTCCAAATACAGGTGCCTTGTGCTGACATGTTGAACACAGTGAAGGAGGGTCAGGAGGTGCATTTTTTGTTAATGACATCATTTCTCTGACATTCTTACTCAACTTGAAATTAGCCCTGTCATCTAGCACTTGATTTCCTGGTTTTGGATCAAGGCCCAAGGATTTTCCCCACAAGGCTTCAGACGTGGAGTTTAGAGCTTGACCATTGGAGGTTTTTGAACCTTCCATTGAATATTTTGAAAAGTCACCAGCAGAACTGAGAATATTTGTTATCCATTGCCGAGAAGACGAAGTTGTTGAAGGAGAACTCAACTTTTCACTGTCTGTGTCAGATTCAGAGATATCAAGGTTATGGATACCTCTGGTATAGAAGAAGCCCTCTTTCTTTAGATCCCAAATGTTTCCAGAAATGAAAACTGGAGAGGCCCCAAGGTCTAAGCTTGACATTGAGGATGTTCCAATATCAGTTGCGGTGAATGATGCGTGCTCTGGACTGCTTGCTGGAGTCACATTTGGAACCTGAGTAGCATTCCACAGATCGCAGTTGTTTTCCAGATGTTTTACAGATGCTTCTGACACAGACAGCACCTCCGCTTCCATCTTACATGATCCAACCAAATTCAAACGAAGCACCTTTGGACAAGACTTCTTCATTACCACAACATTGCATTCCAGCTGTTCCATGCAAACTTTGGCCTCTTTTTTCATTTTTCTGTCCAAAATAAAGTAAAGAACTGATGGAAAACAAGAATTGATGTCTTAAGAGACCAAATTCTCGGCCAGATTCTATGCATACTGGAAATATAAACAGAGTTTTTTCTGGAATCAAAGACCACTAAACAAAGAAACAAGATTTATATTATCTATATTACTTATCCAATACAACCCAGTGTGTCTGAGCTCTCTTGCCTTCAGCAGCCACTACTCCACATTGTGAGCCAGAAACGACTTTTATTTTGATCTTTATCTGAGAAGAAGAATTGGAAGGTGTGGAATACTCAATACTGCATGATGCATGGGAGAAGTAAACTTCTAAAAAATGGATAGATGCATTTACCTTATCCGGATCATAAACGTCATGGAGGTGAAGCATCATTTGGGCGCACGAATCGGTAATATCTTCTTTCTCATCCAAAATCATTCCTGAGAAAGATCTCCAGCGACCAGCAGTGCAATCAGTAGAGAATCTTGGAATTCCCCTCAGTCTTTTACCTAAACACGAATTTTTTTTTGCACATGTCATCAATAGCAACTGCTTTGACAGGGCAGATAAAAGAACAAACCAAATGAAGAACAATCATCACAGGCCCTAGAAACACCGCTATGGATTTTGACAATGCATTATACGCATAAGTTGGATGATATTGATAGAAAACTGAGTGAAGCCAGCCTGGTTTTATATGCAGATTCAAAAAACAAACGTAGGCAATTCATCTTGACAATTATCTGCTTTAGCAATATGCGTAACAAACTCAATTTTCTAAGGATACACACACACACACACTGAACTCTTCTTGTACACACATCTCATCAAACTTAATAACAATCTACAAGTATAATGGCATCAGAAATGATATATTCTCGAAATTGTGGGCTAAAATACGCTGCAAGTAATAAATGCCCAAATTTCCATTGGATCCCAACTCCAATATGATCCCCATGGTTATCCCAAAATCAATCCATCTCGTACTGAACGACTAGACACCAATCAACATAGATCATAATCAGACACATGAACTAGCCTCTTTTTTCATGTTATATGATGCATTATTGCTACAAGAATAGATGTCTTATCATATTAGAGGTGCTAATATAGCCATCAAGCATAGCATTAGTAGCATAAGCATAACAGGTACAGCCCAAAATGACATTGGCATATTAAGATTCAAAGGGTAAATTGACTAAAACCCATGGATATACAACACACACACACACACACACATATATATATGGGCAAAGAAGTTTACTTGAGCTGTGGGCAGGAATGACCACCAACAGCTTAACACAGTCCCCGGTTTGAACAACATGAGTTAAAGCCCAAACCATGGCAGTTTTTGAGATTTCCTTAGATGCTTTAACAGCAACTATCACAACTCGCTCCACCAGATCCGAACCCCCCTCTTTCCCACTTGTTTGCCTGAGATTCATCTTACCCCCACCCAATAAACGCAAAACTTTGTCAACCAGTTACCTCGATTCATTCCACTCTCCAAAACCCTCTCAGCAGCATAACTTTTCTTCCTCCAAACAAGATCAAGAACAGCAAATTCTTGAAACCCAGAAAAGGTCTGTCATAAATAGGACTTTCCAATTTCAGGTTTCAGATCAGAAACTCAGAGTCGAGTGAATTCAACAGCTTTAACTTGTCAATAACCGAGTGAACTCAAGTGGAATGTGTGACCTGAAAGAGGAAATCTCACACGCTTAAGAGTGATTAAAAAATTAGCATGAAATGACTTGAATAACTGAAAGTAACAGGGGCAATTCATGAGGAAAGTATGAGCAAAGAGAAAATGATGCTCTGGATGAGCAAAAACTGGCAAAAAACGACCCAATCTCAGAAAAGCCTGCACTTGCAGGCTTGTTTGTTCATACCCTTTTGTACAATGTGGGGTTCCATAATGCAGAAAGATACAAACAAAAGTGAAGCTCCAAACGGAAGATTAGAAAAGGTCGCACGAAATAGTGGTGAAGAAAGAGAAAGGTGAACAAATGTGAGGGGACATGATGTTTCAAGTGACGACAGTTGCTGAACCCACAAGACACAAAACAACAAATAGTTTAGCAACGGAATAGAAGCCCCTGTCTCTCTCTCTCTCCCTGTCTCTCTCTCCATGGTGGTGTTTTCATTAAGATTCAATAAACTTTACTCCAAGAATAATTAGCTCTCTTTTCTTTTGTCCTACTATTTCTTGGAGTTTTGTTTCATCTACAGAAAGAGAATTTCTTGTGCTTGATGCTTAATCTAAGTTGATGTGCTTAACGCTTATTATATTGTCTTCATCACTCAAAATTTTTTTTTTTTGTTTGGTGGGTAAAATAACTAATTTCATTAGGATAATACAAGTTCCATCTCTTTCTCTGATCTATCCAGGTGGAAGTTATTGAAATTTGAAACTCTTAAGAATTTTTTTCAGAATAGATTATTATATAAATGGTTGCCGCCTTTTCTTGGATTATTGATGCTTGTAGGAATAAGGAACCTCATTCATGGTCAGGTTTCAATAGTAGAAGTTGGTACTTTGTGGTATACATACGATTAAGCTTCATTTATTTGTCTGAATTGGAAATTGGGTTTGATTTCACTTTATAGATCCTCTCGACTATCTCTATAATAAAATATATAAGAAGTTAAATTTTTTTTTATATATTTTTCTCTCAAAATTATCACATCACTCATTTTTATCACATTCAATCATTTAATATTTAATTAATTTATACTTTAACATAATTTTTATTTCAGATATTATCCATATACGATAGCTTATATATGTAAAAAATTTTTTATCGAATTACGTATTTTGAGAAAATTTTGTTAATATTTTTAAGAAAAAAATAGATTTTGAATGATATAATTAAATAAATGAAGAAAAGAAAAATTATTATTTAATATATTGAAATTGATTTTTTTGGGCTTTAATTTTATATTCTATCGTGCTTTCAGGCACGGGTTATAACTAGTGAGATAATATGTTATATAACAACTTCAAGTGGTAATAACTTCAAGGATAGTTCAAGTAATAATATAAACGAACTAGAAACTCAGATGTCTTAAATTTGAATCTTAACAATTCATTGAGCTCAGACCATGAGAAATTGATTTTTCATGAATACCTTAATTTCTGCTTAAATAATTTATCTTTGACCAAATTGAAGAGAAAATTAATCCAGATACTTATAAATTGTCTTGTTGAAAAAAAAAAACCCTATTTAATATAACTATTCGGGTACTGTTAAAATCAATAAGGATCACAATCTACAAAGTGACCCATAATTAATTGAAACTGCACTTGTGGGACCCCCACTTTAAGTTATCTTCTAGCTTCTTTCACCACTGCCATGATAAAGCCATGACTAACCAGAGACTGCGATGAAAACTAATTTTCCTTCTGCACAACAAAGGCGACGTTTGATTGCTTTGCATGGTCAATTTTGTTGCAATTTTCACTGAACCTTTTGGACCTACAGTTACGAAAATAGAAACCTTAATTTTGCCAATGGATAAAATTAAATTTTATGGCAGCATTGGCCACCCACCACGTTATTAATTTAGTGTTATTTGTTGCATTGAATTGCAATATTCCATGGTAGAATATGCTTAGAGGTTGCCCACTTTAATATTCTTAAAGGTTTTGTATATTGAAGGCAATGATTCATTTCAAAAACAAAGAAGGTAGGTAATTGATGGGACTTTAGGCGACTCAGCAAGCATAAGTTGACACGTGGATAGTTATAGTCGTTAGGAATTTGCAAAAGTCACCAAACGAGGATACCGAGGAGTTACAGCATGGAAACGACGAGCTCCACTTATCGAGCCCAGCATTAAATAAAATATGACAGCTCATTAATGATGACTTAAGTGACTGTGTCACGATCATTAATGAGCCTCCTTGTCCTCAAAACCCGCAAAGACAACCATTATTGTAAGACATTAATTATTGTTACGTCGACCAATTGTCCTCGACAAGACCCGAGGTACTTATTCCCGAGCAGTAATTGTTCGGGCATAGATGTGAAGCACCGAGTAGAGGTTCTTAAATGATCAGAGATGGGCAGTTAATACTTGGAGGTTCCTGAGCATGTCTTCACTCTCCCGATGAGGTAAATCTTGAGGGGATTTGATTGGATTGCACTCATTATGCTTGGATATGAGCGTCTGCCATTAAATGCTGAGATGCGACTCACAGAACCCCTAATCATTACTAATTGAGGTATAAATATCCCTCAGGAAGTTGAACAAAGGTACGCAAACTAAATCTAGAAAATACATTGTGTTATTGTCTCAAACGCCAACTGACTTAAGCTTCGCAGGGGATTAGTCGGGTGTTTACTCGACTCCTTTCCTAATCTTTTGATTGTCTCAGGTTCATCATACAATGGATCGTTATCTCTACTCATTGTACAAACTCACCCGTGCAATTTGACGTCGTCTGTGAGAACTCGCAAACTAGTTTTCCCTGTAATGAGAGTTTCATGGTGAATACACGATCCCAAGGTGATGGGGAAGGCAGCCTACGCGTGAGAAACACGAAAGCTAGCAAGCTCCCAGCAGTCACTGAATCAGACTACTTGAGCCAATTAGATGGAGGCCAGCAAACCTCACAACATATTTTGTCGGTAGATCAAAGCCTCGGGGGGCAATGCGTTTTGGCTTGTGTAATCATCGAGTTAATGAAGAAACAGATGGGAAAGTCTTAAGCGACTTGAGAAGGACAATGCCAAGGTGTAGACTCGACTCGATGATTTTGAGCGATCAGACAATGCTAGCGGACAAAACAGCCAACGTGAAGATAGGAGTGTCCGTGGGGGTGAGTCCAGAGGTGCTAGGTTGGATTCCCCAGGGAAGAGTGTATATGGGCGCTTGGGCAAGAAAAGCAAGCCCTGGAGTTATGAAACACCCACTCCTAAGCAAATATTAGAAAAGAACAAGCATAGAACGGACCTTCCCTGTGAAGATCTCTATCACAGGCTCTCGAGAGGTGTTGTAGTGGCAGAGTCCCACACTGAATCTACTGCCAAGGAGCCTAGAATGATGAAACCCCAAAAAGATCTCTAAGTTTGATTGGATTCCAAGAGCCGTAGGCCATACCACAGGGAGGACAAAGACGTTGAGGATGAACAAATCGTCTCTCCATTCGTTCGGGCAATCAGGGAGATTGAGATGCCTAAGAAGTTCACCATCCCCTGTTTTCAAAGTTTATGATGGAAGGACGAATCCCAAGAGTCATCTGTGACAATACAAGCAGCTGATGTTTATTTACGACACTGACCAAAGATTGTTGTGTCAAGTGTTCCCTATGAGTTTGGGAGACACTCCTATAAAGTGGTATGAGAGTTTGGCCCCCGAAAGCATCAGGTCTTGGAAGTAGATGACCGAGCTCTTTGTTGCTCAATTTATCACCAGCAGTAAGAGGCTGAAAGATATCGACGCATTACTAATGCTCAAACAGAGGGGTGGAGAGACCCTTTGGCAGTATGCAATCAGGTACTGGGATGAGGTTAATAAGGTTGAGGCATGCTCGGAGGCTATGGCAGCGGCGACATTTTGGCTAGATTGTCCCGAGACACCGACTTGTACCATTCTCTTACTAAGAGAGCTCCAGTGGACATGAAGGACCTGATAACTCGAATAAACAAGTACACAAGGGTGGAGGAGGAGTTGGTTGTGACCGAGCCTAGGGCTTCAACGCCAAAGAGACGGGAGAGAGAGTTGCTTGTAAGGAGGGGGCACCAGCCCCCACTTAGAGCCGCTTGTCTTTTCAAGGGGTAAGCACGGTCTTCAAAGAACCCATCTACAAAAATGCTTCATAAGATAAAAAAGGAGTCTTTTTTAAATGGGCTCCAAAGATGCAAAGGGACCAATTCTCTAGAGATTTGACGTCTCGGTGTTCTTACCATCAGGATGTGGGGCATCTGACTGAGGATTGCAGAGTATACAAGTCCTCAAGCAATTGGTCTGAGAAGGACACCTCATAGAGTTCATTGACAACAAGTCCTCAAAAAGGTTGGCAGAAGAAGGAGCCGACGTGTCCTAGTAGGCGGAAGCCGTGATCGAAATAATAAATGCTTGTACAGTAGATAGATCAACTTATCATACACTTTGAACCAACCTTTAGAGGGTTTCACAAGTCGTGAAGGTAGAGAAAACAAGTATGGGGGGAAACCGTCTAAAAGACCTCGGCATAATGCCAAGACTATCCACTTTTCTGTTGCTGACCTCAACGGTCTGGCACTTCCACACAAGGATGCCCTAGTAATCACCATTCGGATTGATAAGTTTGATGTCAAACGAATCATGGTGGACTCGAAAAGTTCATCTAAGGTGATGTACGATAGCCTCTTCCACAAAATGAGGTTCACCCCGAAAGACTAGAAATCAGTAAGAATCCTCTTTGTGAGATTCAACGGCTCGTGTGTCATCCCCCTTGGGAAGGTTACTCTCATGGTTATTGCTAGAGTTGTCACAGTCCTAGTAGAGTTTGTGGTAATTGACTATGATTTTCCATACAATGGCGTCATAGGCACGCAATAAAGGCGGTGCATTCATCCTATCATCAGAAGATAAAGTTTCTCATGTCGAGGGGTATCATAGAGATTTGTGGCGATCAGGGGTTGTTAAAAAGCTATTTTTACACTGTAATGAAGATTGGGGTTATCGCCAGAGCCCAAGAACATGATCTCAAGGTAGTATTGGCTAAATAGCAATCATAGTTCGGTCGACTAGGTGTCGATGACCCAATAACGGAGGCTCTAGTCAAGATCCTTCTGAATCTCGAGGACGAGGAGAGATTCTTTTTTATAGGAGCTTTGTTAAGTGGCACCGAAAAGTCTGACATGATAAGCTTCCTTTGCAAAAATACAGATGTCTTCGCTTGGATCCAAGTCGAGTTGACGGGAATAAGTCTTGAGGTGATGTGTCATCGACTTCATGTGGACCCATCCTTCAAATCCGTGAAACAAAAGGCTCGGAGGATGGCGCTTCACCATGCACAGACAGTCGATGAAGAAGTCAACAGATTGCTCGGGGTTGGGTCTATTAGGGAAGTCCAATTTCCTGAATGGTTGTCAAACACGGTGTGTGCAAATAAGAAGGGTAAAAAGTGGTGAG